TAGAGAAGACACTAATTCTATGCTATTACACAAAATTAGGAAATTCATAGTAGTTTTCCTGATGTATGTCAAGGTTCACATTGGTGCTAATCATGTGTGTAGAACTTCTTAAGCTGTTCATATGCTAGCCAAAGAACTAGGCCGCAAAGCAATTGGCCAACTCTGTACATTGTTGAAACCCGTGTTTTCTTCCCTACAAAATCAGTTTCATGATTTACATGGATAATGTGTCTTCATTGTTTCTGTTCAGTAAGAACTACATCTTTGCTCAGCCCTCAGATAGAACCTTGTCCTATTTACATAGATAATGATCTCTGTTAGTTTCACATGTCTAAATTCAATCCTAGACTGATCCTATTGTGTGCCTTTAATTATATGCCGTCACCAATAAAAGGTGTTTCTAAAGCCTGTGCTTTTAGCGCCAGCTTCTATATAAGATCACACTCCCAAGGACAAGGTTTTGTCCGTTTGTGGATTCCATTTCTTATACTTAATCTTCTTTTTGCTGCAGATCCCTCATGACATTTCGTCATTCTTCCAGACTATTTTCATGTTAAATTCCAGGTTCAACATACAATTCTTGGTACATTATGCTAATCTTTGTTACTGACATTATTCACAGTACTGCCACTAAAGCATTATGTGAAATTAAGTGGAGGTGCTGCTTTTCTACCCTATTGTCCGTCCAGGTGAGTAAACAGGTCTTTCAGTTTCATTTTTCCTTTCGTCTTTCAGTTCATTTTTCCTTCCCTATAATGTCATGTTACGTGTTCTTTTTGAGTAAAATGTCAGATTCTCTACCTGGCCATTATAGTCACCACAAAGTATATACATAGGTCCAGTGTGTTGCGTCAACTTTTTGCAAGTACTACTTTATATCAGTTTATTGGGATCCATTGTTGATGGTGAAGTATCTCGGTATACTTTAGGCTTATTTGTGTTTATGGTTACCTGTCTATAACTTTGACAGTGCATTGTCTTTGCTATGTCAGTTTGGTGACAAAACTGGAGTGAATTAACAAAACCTCCTACAAGATTCAGAACCTTTGATCCTTGTTTCTCTACTAGGTATGACTGGGATGTTGCAACAATATATGGTTTTCTACGCAAGTATGGTCTGACAAGTAATATATTGTCAGGAATTTCTGCAAGTACAACTTCTGTCAGTTCAACCATTTGTTTCTTAAAGTTATCTGAAAGCACCCTTTTTTCCTGTATCACATGACACATGAGAGTTTATGATTAGTGTTGACTGCAGCCATGCTACTTTATCTGCACATAGGTAGATCTTTTTTGCCTACCTAACTTCAGTTGTATAATAACTTAAGTGCATGGTAAATCTACAATTGCCATCGTCAACCAGAAACTGCATGGATTAATGGGCTCTGTGGAAATATCACTGCAAACACTGGCGGTCCTCAAATTTGTATGTGCCACTGCATAACTCCTTTACTTGATTAGTAAGCATAACTCCTAGTCTTTTATCTTTTTGCCCATGTTCTCCTTTTGAACTAACATGATTTCTGCTCTCGTGTCCTTGTTTCGTTCCCTGGACACCTCATTGCTCCTATTCATCGTCACTAAATGACTGTTTTTTAAAAACCTTGGTTTATAGCCTCTTATCGAGATAGGTCCTATTATGGCCCCCCGGATTATCAGTGTCGTCATTGTGATGCTATGTTCTGGTATGGCGAGAGGGTCAAATCTGAGTCTTCGCGGCATGATGACAATATTGTTTATAACAACTGTTGCCGGGGTGGAAAAGTTGTCATCCCGCCTTTCCAGCCTCGCCTTGGTCCTTTGGCTGTACTTATTATGCCTGTATTGAGATCTCGATAATAAGGTATAAACGTCGTTAGCTGCACGGCCTGATTTCCGTTTAATCGTCGGCGCGTGCAAAGGCGCGCGTGATGGACTAGTAGATATGAATACGGAGCGGACAGAAAAATACGGAAAGAAACGGACAGGAAAAAAAACAGGATTTCTAAATATCTTCCCGGAGATTGTTGTTTCTGTTTTCTTCCAGTTTTTGTATGGTCCAGATGTTGCTAAGATTCGTGCTCACCTAAATAAGGCCGTGTTTAGTTTGCGAAATGAAAATTTTTGGATGTCACATCGGATGTTTCGGGGATGTCGGAAGGGGTTTTTGGATCCTAATAAAAAACTAATTACATAGCTCGCCTGAAAACTGCGAGACGAATTTATTAAGCCTAATTAATCCACCATTAGCGCATGTTAGTACTGTAGCACTTATGACTAATCATGGATTACTTAGTCTTAAAACATTCGTCTCGCGATTTCCAACCAAATTGTGCAATTAGTTTTTTTTTATCTATATTTAATACTCCATACATGTGCCGTAAGATTCGATGTGATAGTTTGGGGTGAAAATTTTTTGAAACTACATCAGGGCTAATAATTTCCCTTTTTGTTGTCAGTTTGTGGGCCCATCTAAGTTTTGTGTTTGTCGCTCCATTATCCCGCTGCTTTCTGTATTGAAAAAAATTGTCCCTCTCCTTCATTTCAGTTTCGTGTTGTGTGAGTTGACGACGGTGGCCGTGGCCTTGCCGCCGGCGGGGGCGACGGTGCGTGTGGCCTTGCCAGCGGCGGCGGCCGCCGCGTTGTCTACGGTGGCCGCAGTGTTGTCTTCGGTGGGGCGGCTTTGTCGGAGGAGGCAGCGGGGACGGCGGTGTTGTTCGGGGCGGCGGCGGCGGCGTCTTTCTCGGATCCGGCGGCGGCAGCGACGTTCCTCATGGTATCTTTATGTTCTCTTGTGTTTTGATTTGATTTTTATTGTGGTTGCGTCAGTCGGGCGTTGGTAGTGGGCTTGGCCTAGGCAAGCTCGCCGGCAAGGCGGCGAGGCGCTCCGCAACCTCCGCCCGTTGAGTTTCGATCCCTGATTAGGATGTGAATCCGCAACCTCCGCAAGCTGCCTCTGAACTGTAGATGCAACAGCCCATGTGAATCGCGAGAGAAGGAAGAAAGTTTTTGCAGCTTCTTCCCCTTGTTTGTCTCTCCGATCCTCTCCCCCACTCACCCAGCATGTATGCACATCACAGCTTCCATCACCAATCACTATGGATGGATCCACCCAATAGCTTCCACGACATGGCTGCATGTGGCTTTTTTATGGCTGTATGCTATTTGACAATCCAGATGCATTTTCTTCCTCCAAAAATGTTAAATAAGAAGATATTAGTTGTAGTAGAAGTTCTTTCTCATATTTGTTAAAAAAATTATCACCTATACCTGTATTGTATTTGATATTGAAGATTGAAAATTCGTTGTTCTTGGCGACAGATTTTTCGTCAATACATCAGTTAACCTTGCTCCCTGTTTTTTTTTAAATGTAATTATGTTAGTCCATATAAATTGTTGTATCTTACATGCAGTTTTCAAAGAAGAAAGTGCTACAAACATTCAAAGCCCTGACCATGCTGGTATCTCTACTCATTTAAGCTTATTATTATTTTTTGCAAATTTCCTAATTCCTAGATCTAATTTTGGTGGAGCAGTAAATGTAGTTAGTTAGATAATATGTGTTTTGCTCTGCGAAACGGAAAGGAGATTTCTTATATGCAGATCTATGTCTATTTTAAATATGTACAACTAATCACAGAGCACATTAACACCCTGATGCGTACATAGTGGATCAGTTGTATTACTAAAATGACTCTTATCAATTATTAAAATATCATTAGCTTCTTTTTATTTTAATCTGGACTTCATGTTTTTTTTTGTTATGTGTGGATGTCCCTCGCACATTTCTGTGCTTTTAGCCGTTTTTGTTAAATTCCGATCTAGTGTGTGTGGTTTCTAGCTTTGGTGTGAGTGTGATTGTGTTTTCTGGTGCTTCTGGTTTGTTTGTTTGTGTGTCTGTGTCTCTCTCCCTCTGTTTGTGTGTGTGTTTTTGTGGGCCTTTTTCTTTTTCTTTTTCTCTTTATTTAGTTTAGTTTTTTGTACATTTGTATGCTAGCTTTGTGGTCTCTGTGTGAGTGTGACTGTGTGTGGGTGCTAGCTTTGTTGTGTGTGTGTGTGTCTGATTTGTGCACTTCAGATGGCTGTGCTTGAAACCACAGTTTAGCAGGGCACCTCTCATGGGTGTCAAGTTGTTCGCTAATCCCTGGGTGCTTTAGTGAATCACTGATTGTTGTCGTAGTTCACGATTAGAGAATTTGTTGTCCCTTGGCCTAGGCTTGCTGAAGGGAGCATTATTACTGACTGAACTGAATCCGCATAAGGTGAGTGACAAGTAGATTGAGAAAATCTATAGACAAGCTCACCTAAGGTGCTTAATCTGCTATCAGTTTTGCAGCTAGTAAATGCAAATCATATATTGCTGTGTTGTACCTATACTGTCACACACTCAAACTTTCCTATAATTTGTGATTTAGAAAGGGATAATATTTTAATTTTAATGTGAAATCACCCGTAGAGCACTGTGCTGTGCCTATGTTGCCTCACTTTCCTCTGCACTGGGATAGGTAATCAGGTATCTTCATCTTTTTAGTTGACCTATCTGTGTACTATTTTCTGCAGACCTGTTCTCGAAGTTTGAAGATGATAAAGAGAAATTGTTTGTGCAGTATGAACTGCAGAGTAAGCAGTAGATAGCTAGTTTCTTCAGTTTTATTTTATGAGTTTGCTGCTCTGACATGCTGCCTTTTAACAGGGAAGAAGGAGAAGGCTACTCTATATAAACTTGAGAAAACATTTTCAGTGAAGTTAGGACTCTGATTATGTGTGCATAGCAAACTCTAATTATGTGTTATAATTTCTGTTCGCCTTGAATTGTCCTGCATATTTCTGTTTTTGTTGTCTTTCCTCTTGTCTATTTCTCTGTTTCCTTAATTCTTAAATATTGAGGTTTTGGGTGTTTTGACAGTCTATATATGCTTTGTGTCCTCCAATCGTTGGACCTTTGTCTCACTCTATATTTCTTAATAGGTTGCACAAAGAGAAGCGATCCTCATATGCTCCTGAATCTAGCGTGAGGTACGATGGGGTTTACAGAATTGACAAGTGCTGGAGGAAGATTGGTATTCAGGTAACTTAGTTCTCCTGTATACATTACATATTGCAGATGTAGCTATACTTTCATAATATGCAGCTACTTATTAGCTGACAAAGTGAATAAGCATGTGGAAATGTATTAACTCTTCTGTGTTTTTTTGCCACAGGGTAAGTTCAAGGTCTGCAGGTATCTCTTTTGTACGCTGTGACAATGAACTAGCTCCTTAGACCAGGTTAGACAAAACACTTCGCCTCATCACTACTAGACTAGTCCCTGATCTTAAGGGAAAAAAAGTGAGTCTTCCTTCTGACATCTATGCTCAGATTTTTAGTGATGATCGCGGTGACCGTCCAAGACCCTTGCCAAAGATAAAGGAGCTGCAAGGTGCAACTGATATAACAGAGAGGAAAGGGCGTCCTTCATGGGATTATGATGTATGTACATCTGTTTCTTCTTTCTGTGTTACTGTACTGTGTTATGGATGGTTTGTATTCATTGTGATAGGAGAAAGATGGCTGGAAATGGATGGTGCCTCTGCCAGTCAGCAAGAAGTCTGTTCTCTCTCGGGATCCTGAGACCGACAAGCAAATCCGGAGAGCAACAAAGCGTGCTCGTTTGTCTGTTGCTGAAAGGCCGCTTAAAGGTTCTTGCTCTTCTGTTTGATTTATTATTTATTTCTTAGGTGGCGTTTGGATGCACCATGGGTCTGTGATATGGACTGGTACTATGATATGAAAAGGTGGGTTTTGAGAAGGATAGCATCTCGTCCTTTTCCAATGTTCTGCACTGGGTGTTTGGACTGGGGACAATCTTTAATAATAAAGATGTTCCTCATTAAGTCAAAAAGAAAATTCAAGTAAGTTTAAGTATGACCACAGCAAAAGAAATCTCGTTGGAAAAATCTGAAGATTCTCCTCATGACATATCTGAAGCTTTCTTCAACCTGGTACTGCAAAGAATTGCTCCAAAGAAGCATACAAGAAAGGTTACCATGCTTTGATGATTTTCTCCTGGCTTTTGTAATGTTGATGCCTGTGTTTGGATCCCTGTTCTTGGTGACCCAATTGGATGCAGTGAACATGCATATCTTGATGCCTGTGTTTTGAAAATTGTAATGTTTTTGTTCTATTAGTAATTTGTACCAAAATTAGATGCATATCTATGCAAAAAGCAAATCTCAGATGAAGGTGCTTTTGGGTGGACTGGTTTTGATGGTTTACCTACGTTGCATCTTGTTCTTTTGCTTCTGATCTGGGTGTTAATTTCAAGTTTGGTCTTGCTTTTGCTTTGGTCCTCATCGTCTTTCTTTTGACTGCTACGGCGCCGCCGCCGCGGCCATCTACGTTGCCGCGGTTTTTGTTCTGTTACACGGCGCCGTGTTTTTCTTTTCTTTTCTTCTCCGTCAAGTATGTTTTTCTCTGTGTTTTCTTTCGGCTGTGAATTTGCCACGTCACTTTTCAGGAAGCGGAAGATAACTAACATAAAGATCTTCCAGATATGTGACGCACAGGTGCTTTTTTTTTTAATTTTCTTTGCTTTGCTGTATCATGTGACGTGGCAAATTATGATTTGTTGAAAAAAGTGGAAGATAACAAACAGAATAATTTTCCACAAGATGTGTAGTCAGTCCTAAAAACAATATAGCAGAAATTTTGCCTTTTTATTATTAGGGATAAGATATACGTAGCTGCCCGCCGCGCTCACCTACCTGGACGGAGATTGATGTTAATAGTGCGTTCTCAGGCCCAATCGATGGTCGGCGGAAGACACCCTGCCGGTCGGACCGGAAATTTCCGTGGGTTGGGTGGGTGCTTCGGCTGCCTACGGACCTCTCCACCCGAGCAGCACGGAGCCCGACCCATCACATGCGGTGGGCCGTGCGTACGACCTCCACGGACGCACGAAACCGACCGGCCCTGTATAAGGCACGATTATGGGGAAATCCGATTACGGGCGCGTTTAGATGAAATTTTTTTTAGGGCTCAATTAGTGTCTAATTATAGACTAATTAGGTTTGAAAGTTTCGTGTCGTGATTACTCACCCAACTGTATAATTAGTTTTTTTTTCATCTATATTTAGTATTTTATACATGTGTCACAGGATTCGATGTGATAGGTGCTTAAAATTTTTTGAACCTAAACAGGCCCTACGTTGCGTGCAGCCAGCCCTGCGGAGTGCGGAACTGCGGACTGCTTCTGACGTGCGGGGCCCCGCACCCGAGCCCTAGATCGGAAGCCGCACTCGGGTCTCGGGCACGCGACCACCTTATCCCCGAGCCAGACCCGCGGCGGCCGGAACCGGGAGCCCCGTCGCCGGCCACGCCCCACCGCTCGCGCGCGTCGAGCGCCGTCTCGTCGTCGTTGAGCCTCCGCTTGGCGCCCACCTCTTCCGCTGCCTGGAGTCCTCCCCTCGCGCCGCCGACACCGGCGGGTAGGATCCCCGCGCCCTCGACCCGCAGATCCGGCCGCGGCCCAGGTAATCGAAGCGCCTGCTCTTTGGGAGTCAAGTGCTTACTGGGGTTGGTTCATGACTTCTCTCCTTGAATTCGGCTTGATTAATCCGAGTCGGCCACACGGATCCGTACTCTACTGAAAACCAGAACGAAGGATTAGGTTTTTCTGTGCTCGCTTATAGGCTGCTTGCTTTCTCAAAGTAATGTATCATGGTACACTGAACGCCTCCTCTCTGTGATTGAGAAAAGGAGCAGCAAGTTCACTTCTTCACATGGACGTTGTATGTATCATGGTACACTGAACGCCTCCTCTCTGTGATTGAGAAAAGGAGCAGCAAGTTCACTTCTTCACATGGACGTTGTATGTGTTTCTAGTATTTCATCCTGGATTGATATGTTTAAAATGCACATGAATCAGAATATTGCTAGTATTCCCACACCAGTTAATTTCAAGTTTGATTGTGGAAGAGGTAACCAATTAGTAGTTTTGCCATTCGTTCCGCTCACTAGGGCGTGATTGGTTCTGGTTTATAGGTAACCAGGCTGGCATGTAGCAACTAGGCTCTTGCCGATCTCAGCATGTAGGAGCACCTTGTTTGGCTTACGTTACCATCCATACCATCTCATCGCACTTGATTGGTGGGTCTCTGCATGTAGGAGCACCTTGTTTGGCTTACGTTACCGTCCATACCATCTCATCGCAGAACTTGATTGGGTGGTCTCTCCCTACTCGCTCCATGCATGCGCCAAGAGAGCAGTGGACGCGTGACGTGCACTGCGTGAGCTAGGCTCGCCAGAAACAAAATCCGATTTCATTTCTCGGGCCGATTTGCACCCACAAATCCTGGCCCACATGGACGTCCGGCCAACCAAACATCTACCTCCTGCATGCTGCATCCAACCAGCCTGGTCGGACCACGTGCGGGAAACCAATCATGCCCTAGACATCTAGTCATTTCCATAGGAGCAGTACCTTCTGTTTGCGCATTAAATCCTATATTTCTACAACTATTTGTGAAGCTGAACTCCTGATGTTTAGGTTGTTATTAAACATTGCGTTTAATCATTGGAGATGTTTGTTACCTACGCACATGGAGTGTCTAAAAGAAATCGGCTAGTAGCGTAATTCTTGAACTTGTTGCCTCTTTGTAGGAAGGAGACACTTATGGCGAAGGGACAAATATTAGCTGTTCTTCAAATAGGTGGAGAATTCACCACCGATGAAGATGGACACATGTCATATTCTGGTGGAGAGGCACATGCTATGCATGTCCAAAGTGACTGGACTTTTAGCGCATTTAAGCAAGAGATATCGTCGACACTTAACAATCTGAAGCTTGACCAGTTTGCATTCAAGTATTTCCTTCCAAAGAATGATAAAACTTTGATCTCTATTTCCAATGACAAGGACCTACGACGCATGGTTGAATTCCATGCAGAGTCAGATTCAACATACATTTATGTCATGAAGAAAGCTGACAACAGGTACTTGTCTACTGTCCTAATTTCTTGTGGCCGCATTAGTAAATTGCAGAATGACATGAGGCAATTTTTTCAGGTCAAAGAGCATTCTTGCTGTCTCGGCCACTCCCACAGATGCCTTTGCCATTGCCCCAACAACTCAGGATGGGTCTAAGAGACAAAAGGTTTGTGCAAGTTGGAAGAATGTGATAACTGGAGTTGGCCAAGTGTTTGAAGGACCTAAGGATTTCCGTGATGCCTTGCATAAGTATGCCATTGCACATAGGTTCCATTATAGATTTATCAAGAACGATTCATCTCGTGTGACTGCTGAGTGTACTGATGAAGGTTGCCCATGGCGAATACATGCTTCTAAGTCCCCTGCAAAGAAAGAATTTATGATCAAGAAAATATCTGAAAGCCACACCTGTGAATCAGAAACAGCCAAAAGTAATCGGTTGGCTTCTCAGCGATGGGTTGCTAGTGTCATAAAAGAAAAGTTGCGTGATAGTCCAAACTACAGACCAAGAGATATTGCAAATGATCTTCAACGAGAGTATGGACTATGCCTGAACTATTCACAGGCTTGGCGTGGAAGATCAATTGCTCAGAAGGAACTTTATAGTACACACGAAGAGGCATGCAGTCAGCTGCCTTGGTTTTGTGAAAGGATTGTAGGGACAAACCCTGGAAGTGTGGCAACTGTAGTGGCCTTGGAAGATTCAAAGTTTCGTTTCTTTGTTGCATTCCATGCGTCGCTCCATGGTTTTGAGCATGGGTGCAGGCCGCTACTTTTTCTTGAAGCGATAACTGCAAAGCCCAATAAGCATTGGAAGCTACTGGCTGCTGCTTCAGTTGATGGTGAAGGTGATGTGTTCCCAGTTGCTTTTGGTGTTGTGGATGATGAGTCGCATGAAAATTGGCATTGGTTTCTTGAGCAACTAAAATCTTCACTTGGGACATCTCGGACCATCACATTCATATCGAATGGAGAACATGGACTTTGGGATGTAGTATCTTCGGTTTTCCAAGAGAGTCATCATGGCTACTGTGTGGAGTCTCTTATTGAAGAATTTAAGACGCAACTGGATGATGCATGGACTGAGGAACTAAAAGATTCCATGGTTGAGCATCTTAAGAAGGCCATATATTCATGCACAGCTGATGAGTTCAATCAGTATATTGAGCTCATCAAAAGTGAATCTGACAAGCTTGCTGATTGGCTCTTGGAGATCAAACCTGAGCAGTGGTCAGATGCTTTTTTTAAGGGATCACGTCATGGGCAGTATTCTTGTAATATTTTTGGCACTGTGTCTGAGTGGATTCCCACGAGATATGAGCTTTCAGTTGTGCAATTGGTTGACACGATAAGGTGCAAGCTGATGGAGATGATGTACACACGCAGGGAATCTTCCAATGCATGGACTGAGGTATTAACACCGGCAGCCAATCAGAAACTTCAGGAAGAGGTGAACAAAGCCCACACCCTCAATGTCCTTCCAGCAGAAAACGATGAAAATGGCAATGTGTTTAAGGTCTGTGATGACTCAGTTAATGTTGTCAACCTTGACACATGGGAATGCACCTGCCAAAGGTGGCATATTTCTGGGCTGCCGTGCATGCATGCGATTGCCGTATTGGACCGCACCGGGCAATATGCATATGACTACTGTGTGAAGTACTTCACAACAGGATGCTACCGTTTGACCTATTCCTTGTCAATAAATCCCATACCTGATGTTGTGCTGCCTACATTAATTGACGCAGCTCAGAGCCCAGCAACATACCCATGCCCACTGCGAACCCGGCGTCGGGTTGGCCGGCCAAAAGAGAAGCCTGCTGATCCTCGCATTGCAATCAAGAGGGCAGTGCGCTGCAGCAGGTGCAAGGGTTATGGCCACAACAAGGCAACCTGCAAAGTTCCTATCAGCACATAGTATTTACTCAGCGAATCAGTTGTGCAATGTACATTAAGGTGGAGAGTTGTTCGTGTTGCAATGTTAGTGCTGATGTTTCTTTTGATAGTGTGTGATACATGCTAGGGTTGATCTTAGCTTGGCTGGCCAAAAGAGAAGCACGCTGATCCTCACATTGCAATCAAGGGGGCAGTGTGCTGCAGCAGGTGCAAGGGTTATGGCCACAACAAGGCACCCTTCAAAGTTCCTAGTATTTACTCATCGGATCAGTTCTGCAAAGTTCCTAGTATTTACTCATCGGATCAGTTGTGCAATGTACATTAAGGTGGAGAGTTGTTCATGTTATTCTCTAAGATGCTAGTTCTGATGTTTCGTTGGATAGTCTGTGATACATGCTAGGGTTGATCTTAGCTCTGAATTGATCTGTATTTTCACCATTGCTTAGACTAACTGTATTCAGTTTGTGAGTAAAACACTGTAGCTAACACTTGGGAAAGCCTTGGAGGGTCTGTGTCGCATACTCACGTTGCGATCCAATTTGCTCACTTTTCCGTTGTGGCTGCTGTTTGGCTTCCTCACCATCTCAGCAAGACTAAAATTAGCTATTCTCATTCCTTGCAGCGCTACTTATTTTGTTTGCTATTCATCAATGTCCAGACATTCCACTGGTTCTTTCAGGATATAGTTTCTTATTGCCAGAGCACTGAACATTGACCCCTGTTCTTTTGGCATTGTACGTTCTGCTTTTTTGGCATGTTTGCTGCGCTATGCTTGTCATACTTAGGTACTGTTTAGATGCATTTGTCATGGTAAAAGATTTGTCCCTAATCATTTGCTGCTAATCTTTAGCTATTCAGACTTTAGCATGAGGTGTTTAGATCCATTGCAAATGTTTAGCACTATATCGAAAGAAGACTGATTTGCTCTCATTTAATGACTGATTTGCCTCATTAATTGTCAACCATGCATGCTGCGTGCTGGGCTTGTTGCTGCTGGCGCCTAGCTGTTGCACGCCGGTGGTGCTGCTCCCCGAGCTGTTGCACGCCGGTGCTGCTGCTCGCCGGGCTAAAGCGCGCCGTTCTTGCCATGCTGTTTCCAAACAATCAAATATTACACTCATTTAATGACTGATTTGCCTCATTAATTGTCAACCATGCACAGCCATGCATGCTGCGTGCTGGGCTTGTTGCTGCTGGCGCCTAGCTGTTGCACGCCGGTGGTGCTGCTCCCCGAGCTGTTGCACGCCGGTGCTGCTGCTCGCCGGGCTAAAGCGCGCCGTTCTTGCCATGCTGTTTCCAAACAATCAAATATTACACTTTATTACACAATTATTCAATAATTCAAGTATATAATTCAATTATCCTCAATCATAGAAATCAATCACACACGTTACAATTCAAGTACACAATACAAATTGTCATGATCTATTTAACAAACCAATGGCTATTTGGTCACGGAAACCATTCATGTACACAGAATCATCCCTTGCCGGCTGTTGACGAGCACGTGGTTGAGAGGTCAATGCCTCAGGTGGAACATAGTTCTCATAATGATCACAACGATCAAAGTCCGTATCCACTATTCCACTCGTTCGAATGAAGTTATGGAGTGCCATGCATGCTACGATTATTTGGCTTTGCTTATGAGGTGCATAACTCGGCATATGCAACAGAATCCTCCACTTCATTTTAAAACTTCAAATAACCTCTCGACGACATTTCTAAGAGATGAATGAGCGAAGTTGAAGATCTTTTTTTACCTTGTGGCTTTGGGCCTTCTCGATACTTCGGTAGATGGTACTTGGTTCCCTTGTAGGGTGCAAGATAACCCGGACGGTTCGGCTAGCCAGAGTCCACCAAGTAATATTTTTCTACACAATGGAATATTTTTGTAAGTTTCAACTAGCTTGACTAGAAGCTGCAATTGAAACATTGGAAGTTGTTTACCTATTGGTGGATGTGGAAACATGTCGCCGTACTTGGTCATAACATCAGTGAACACTCTCATGTCATGTACAGAACCAGGCCATCCAGCAAGAACAAATGTGAACCTTATGTCAAAGTCACAAATAGCCAGCACATTCTGTGTTGTCATGCCCTTGCGGCACATGTGCTGAACCACCTTATCAGTTGGCACCACACATGGTATGTGAGTGCCATCTAGTGCTCCTATACAATTGTTGAAGAAGGGATGGAACCTAGGATTCCTCAATCTAGGATAAATTGTTCTAAATTCTAGCTTAATTGTGTCTGTAGCTAGCTTAACCACACGTTGCAAAACTTTTTCGAAGTTGTTGTGAACCGTGCCTAGTGACCTCTCAAATCTATCCTCAGCTTGCCTAACTGACTGTGGTGCTCCTAGCATACAGAGGAACATGCCTAAAGCCTCCATAGAGGTACTCTTTATACTTGATTTGAGGCCATATGACTCTACAAACAGATTATGAAGTCGATGAAACATAGTTTGACTCATTCTAAACATGTTGTAGCATCTGTTTCTATCTCCTAGAGTCATCTCTACCCATTGCAATCCAGTTAGAAGTGGTTTCCTTCTCTTAGCCCTATTGCAATATTTGTCATAGTGATCAGCAAACAAAAGCATACCATCCATAAATTATTTGTCATCATTCTCAACAAGAAGTATGAAGATTTCGTCATCACTTGACTCGTCTGAATTATCCCCATCCCTTGTTGAACTACCATCCTGGCACATAAATGCATCATAAACTCAGTTATATATTACTGTTGAAATGACAAACAGGCTCACATCACAATCATAATTCAAAGTCATCACACAGTACAACATCACATTCATAACAGATAAACATAGTTCAAATAACACACTTAGTGCAATGACAGACATAGTTCAAATGACATACTTAGTGCAATGACAAACATAGTTCAAATGACAGGCTAAGTTCAAATGACAGACTGAAATTAAGATAACAGGATCTAGATCAGGTTGTTGACCCTGGCATAGTGCTGAATGAAGGCTAGCCTTCCTTCTGCTGAAGATATTCCAATGAAGAACTTTATACTATTTACTTCATTGCAGATCCTGTGTACAGCAAACCACGCCAGGTTTGTCTCAGATACCCCACACTCTTTAGCCAACTGCTGCACTAGCCTAATCTTTTCACGGTTGGCTTCCTCTTTCTGTTGCTTCGCACTCAAATGTTGCTTCAAGTACTCATTCCTCTCAGCTTGAATCTTAGCGTTGTCAGTCATGTACTTGTTCATGGCCCTATTTGCTAGGCTCTTCTTGCGCGGACTAGAGCCAGTAGTGCTTGTGCTGCTTGCTCTCTTGTGGCTACTGCTGCTAACTGGAGTCTGCACATCAAGGTCGTCAGGTGCATCCTCCTCTTCCTCATCCACAGTGACACTTTCTCCAGCAACAAATGAGGTTGAGCCATCAACAGCTACACCATGGAACATTTGTCCCAATTCATCCAAGTACTCTGGCCACCCCCACTTGCATTTCTTCCATTCTGAGTGGCCCTGCACAACTTATCATAGTGAGCAAGTGATCAACTAACTAGTTATCAAACAACAAACAAGCAGTTTGGCAAGTTCCTTAGTGTTGGCTTCCCACCATTCATCAGTGGCATCAATAGTGCCATCATCTCTACGGCCTAAGCTAGTGTCATTCTGCAGTCTTCTTATGAATTGCCATAGTCCCTTTAGTTGCCTAATCCTGTTGGCGACCTGCTTAATGTCATGGACCAAACCGGTTGTTGCATGATACCTTAGTAGAACCTCCCTATGTCTTTGTCATGGTTCCTTTGATGCAGTTACCCTTGTTAATTTGGTCAACCCACAAATTACATAATAATTTGTTATTTGGTTCTGACCAATTTGCCTTGTTTGTTCTAGCCTAATCCATGCATAACAAGAATACGTACATACATTACAAACATGGCAAAATCAAACAACAAGCATATTTTTCAGGGTTTGAGAATGTACCGGGCCTTGAGCGTTCGATGGATAGATCTCTTCGATCTCGTCATCTACAGCGGCATCCTAGGGGTTGATGTTGAAGTTGTCTTATGCAACAGCACTCGTCGTGGCTCCTCGACGTCCACCGCGGCTCCTCGATCCGGCAGGCACGGAGGAGATAGATCCACGCATGCCACGAACGCCGGCGTTGACAGGAGGCAAGGGAGGGCCACGGCCACCATCGGAGGATGACGACATGGCGCGACCGGCGTAAGCCGAGGGTATGACTGCCGCGGCGGACGTGAACGGGAGGGGGGCCCATGCTGCTGCCGATGCCTCCATCTTGAGAGTTGGAGCGAAGGATGCCCAGATAGGCCGCCATTCCGGGCCACCCTTCACCCTGAGAGTTGAGGTCGAGTTGCTCCATGCCCAACTGGGGAGCATAGATGCTGCTCGAGCCAGGAAAATGATTCGCCGCGTCGGGGAAGATTTCGTAGCCGCCGGCGGGGAAATAATACTGATCAGGCTGCGATAGGAAGTCCCTAGTGCGATCGCCGTCGCCGTAGCCATCGCTGTTGTAGCTGTCCATCTACGCCGCGCGGATCTGGATCTGGCGACGGGGAGAAGAAGCTGGAGCTACGTGGCGGGGAGGACGAGCTAGATCTGGGCGTTGGGGAGGAGGAGCTGGATCTGGGCGGCGACGGCGGACGGAGCTAGAGTTGGTGGTTCGGGAGAGAGCGAGAGCGGCGGGTGGAGCTAGGGTTCGCACGGAGGGAGAGAGCGAGAGCGGCGGGGGGTGGGTGCGGGGGAATGGATAAGGGTACCAAGCGGGGTTGGTGGGTGCGGGGTAGTGGGCGTCCAACTCGCGCCCCCAGACGTTTTAGCCCAGTTTTGGGCCTCTTGAGTAGCAAATGGAAAATGTTTAGCAATCCTGGATTTGCTCTTTTTGGCTCCACCTGTTTAGATCCATTTGTCCAAAACATGGGCTAAAAGTGCTGGGCAAAAGTTTTACCAAAGGAAATAAACAGGATTGAAAAAGCATTATAGCATAGAGCATACAATCCAAGATGGTGAGCTATTGTGCATTGGCATTGGCATTTTAGCCGGATAATGTTTGTGCTGTAGTTTATAATGTTCTAATGGAACCTGGAAAATTTGCCATTGAGACCACATGCATCTCCATGTGTATCTAATGTTGATACACATGGGGGCATATGCCATTAAAGATAAAAACAACATTCACCATTCTAATGTAGCTATTTGTGCCACATTGGCTACTGTTTCTTTTGTTTGCCCATTCTTTCAGAAAATTCCGGACAAATTCGTGCAAGAACACCTGACTGGAAGTTGTTCAAACACGCAGAAGGCCATGGTTTTCAGCCCTCTCGGCAAGTTCTGGCGCATGTTGAACTAGACCGTGGTCAGCCGGGGGTGCTACTTGGAGATGGCTGGGCGCAGTTTCTAACCGCTCACAATCATCCTTCTGTTCCGATATGAAGATAACATGGTGTTCATAGTTGAGACGTTCCTGCAGAACGGGTACTCGAAGGAGTATGGAGCAGCAGCTGCAGACATGACTGATGACTTGATAGTGATAGGTCCAAGCACCATGCCGCAACAAGGTGAGTCAGCACAGTGTACAAGTCTTGAGTGGCTTTAGTTATGAACTGTCACTTATGGTAATGTGACATTATATTGATTGTGCAGGTGATAAAGAGCTTGGTGTTTCACCTGTCAAGAAGAAAAAGAAGACCAGGAATGAGAGTACCCGTGTGGATGTATATCATGGAAAACCAAATCTTTCCCCAATTTCTGCGAAGAAGGCTGTATCGCAGAAGAAACTTGTCTGCACCATGCCTTGTCATTCACTCACAAAGCGGGTTACTGGCTTTGATCTTACGCGCCTATTTGTGAGCACTTATGATTCCTGCAACTGTGTTTAGTTTAATTTTCTGATAAACATACTTGTCAACGAATGAGAAATTAAACCAGTGCAAATCAGTCTCCTTGCTCCACTGAATTTTGCAATTCAGGTCTTTGTACTGAGGATTTTCTCAGTTTAACAAATAAACATGCAAATTTCAATTTCTGTTTTAAAACGCATGCCACATCGACACACAGTAATTTAGTTCATTCTGATTTTTTAGAATACCTTATTCAGGAAAGTGTTTGTGCAATACCTTGGGATAAATGATTATAGTGACCTGAATTAATAGTTTGGACCCATTGCAATATATTTACCTCATTCTGATCTAAAAATGAAAAACACACTTAAAATACATAGTTCTTGACCTTAGCCAAAACGGACTAGTTCAGGTAGTTCATTGAAACCCTTGAATTCGGACTAAGAATTATTGTTTTCAGAAAAGGCAACAAAACCACTACCATCTTACACTTGTTTCAAGCTAGGAAAATGTGTTTTTACGATACACAAAAACACCAAAAGTCCATGCTCTACATCATAACTCCTACTCTTCATCATATTCGATTAGTGGTACTTGCAAACTCTGTTATTCGCAAAAGTTGTCATCCCCCTATCTGAAGCATTTATGCAAACTGTGGTAATAATGCAGAGTTTGAAAGGGTCCTTTGCTCTTCGGTTGGTCTTTTGGAAGCATGTGAAATCACACTGAAAACATAGGTGGGCAACACAAGATCTTGGTCTGTATGCTTCAAAACGCCATCAACTATGGCTACTTAAGTGGACCAGGCTTGAAAAGGTTTTGCAGCGAAAACAACCTAAAAGAAGGCGACTGCTGCACCTTCAGAGTCATCGAAACAACTGTCTGGCATGTCACAATTGTGTCCAGCTAGTAGGAGGCTAGGAGTTAGTCTCAATATTTTGCTTGCCAAGTCCACTTGTGACAGGTCAGTTCTTGGTTAGTTATTTTCATGTGGATGTTAGTCTCTGTTAGTCTGAGAATATAGAACTCAAAGTATGGTAGTCTAAGGAATATTGGGCCACTGAAAGTTTGAAGCATCAGTATATTTATTTATAATGTTGGCAGATTACTTGATGCACACCGGTAGATTTTTAATCTCATTTCTTGCCATGTCCACATTCTGCACCTGCTAATGTTAAGTTGGTCACTTATCAGTTGTACATGAATTCTGTTTAAGAAGCAGAATGGAAAATAAGACCCAGATGTTCTGAGGATAAGAGCACATGGTACTTGAGAGCTAGTTTTGTGCAGGGAATCGATGCTTAGCACAGCTTTTTTGCTGGTTCAAAGCAAAATCTCTCGTGTGGCTTCAATATGGAAGTGGTTCTTGACCCAATGCAAGATTTGTCCTCTAATTTTTTCACTAAGGTGATGGAATTACACTCTTTTCAGATGAGCGCGACTGCGCAGGTCTGATAAAACCTACTAGTTCTGATAGTTGCCTCACAGAACAGCTCGCCTTTTCTTTTCCTTCTACTTTCTTCAGATTCTTTGGTTTGCAGCTTGGTAAGATCAGCATAAATCTTGTTTAGAACCAACAGTGAAGTTCCTGTCACTTGCCATATGGCAGCATTAAGTTGAAGATTTGGAGTAAAGATTGTGCCACCGAGGAGCTATCTGAACTAGGTGAGAATTAGGTTCTTAAGTTTGGTTCACTGAACAATAAGATAATGCCTATGATGTCAAAATCAAGAACGATAGTTTATTAGCTTCAGGGTGCTTAAATAATTATTAAAAAACAGAACCTTTATTAGGTGAAAAGGTTTGTTAAATCGTACTTGATAACTACCAGAATAACTAGGTTAGTAAAAATTAAGGATTGTTCCAGCAAGACTATAGCATTAACAATGGTTAATCCTCCAGAAACCTGGTGTACTTTTTCAGAGGAAACTGGTACTCCCCAAGTACAGAAAAGGCTCTTGCAGCAACTCTCTTAGCTGTACAACACAGTCTGAAGATGGTTCTCCTCCATCCAATGTTGTGTCAAGTGGTGACCTAATTCTCTATCACCTTTTGTTCCTTCAACAATAGAAAAACAAAAAAGAAGTCGCAGAAGCTGTTTGAAGCTTAGACTTTCATAAAGTGTCCATTTTAAATATGAATTATGGAGACATATATTGTGATATTCTCCTTGAAGTGTACTCTAGACATCTGCTTAATATATTTTTGCTTTTCAGAACTACATAAAAAAAATGGATTTAGTGATTCATAACTGTTCTGCACAAATTTCGCTTGATCTGATCATGAGTTATATATGGTATATCTGCATATATACATTATAGTATCTGCATACAATGGTATACACGAAATCTTGTAGATGTCTCACAATTTGTACAGTTGAAAGTGAAAGTGTTTGGGTATATGCCTTGGGAATTTTTTACTCTCTCAGAACGACATCTCCACCATCTCTTGGGCATATTCAGATTCTGTTCATAAAATATGTGGATCGACAGTCAAAGACACAGTAATTTGTAATTGCACGGCTCTGGAAAATAAGTGATCCCCAGGACAGTTGATTCGGCACAAAGCGATGATCCTTTTGGGTCATTTTCCAACAAGAGGTCCAATGAATTGTCACAAATCATTGGCTCGTTCTTATCTAACAGGAGGACATTTGCCCTGGGAATATTTGATACCCCTAAAGTTTCTCTCTCGAGAAGCTTGATACCCCTAAAGTGATGATGGCTATATAGAGGGGGAATTTCGAACGTTAATGGAAAGAAAGGATGAGAGCTCAAAGACAAATTCTTGTGATCCCCAAGTTGGATCAAATCTTTTTTGCCGGGAACTCGCATCACATGTTCTTAAGAGTTTGGATGCTGGTGATCCTTGTCGACCATGTTATATTATTATGTGTGTTGATTCAGGTGTAAAAAAATTGCAGTTTAAGTGAAATTAATTAAAATATGTCAAGTCTGATTTGTATATATTGTGATGGATTTAGATAGCAGTCGAACATATGCATGCAGAATGAGATAAATTGAGGCAACACATCAAACTACACATCAAAAAATTGTGCTCATCAGAATTCAGAATCTGATTGCCAACTTGCATTGTGATGGCATGGAGGAAATGTCATGGCAGCGTGCACGAGAGGTGACTAATGCAAAGACTGATTGGTCATCTAACGTGACACCGTGATCGGCAGGGAGCCAAGGACATCCTGACATGGTTAGGTTACATTGCTAGGCTGGAACACGGTTCTGGGCTATGAGATACCACTATGCATCAATGCATGAAACAGGGACAAGTTCACGGGACAAATGTGTTCCTGATCAAACTTTTGTCGGAGAAAATAGCCATCTTCACATTTTATAAATTCTTCAATGGCCGATTTTGCGGCTATAAGAGTTTTAAACGGCGTGGAGGTATATAGCTGTAGAATATGTTCACTAGCTTGATTGAAAAGACTATACTATCGACAACCAAAATGCCACTCCATTTGTGGGCGAAATTGTTTTCTGTAATGCAGCACAGATATTAATTTCAAAATTACTATGAAAAGAACAGTCAATGGACAAGCATTTTCATTTCATTTTTGTGGAAATATCAAGCCAATCGTAATTAGAAAATAGTTTAGTCATGTGATATATATTATCTGAGCTTTGAGAAATGATCACTTTTGGTCCGTTTTCTTCGGAAGCTATTCAGATATAAAAGCCCCGTTCGCTGGTCTGAAACTTGGCTGAAACTGGCTGAAAAACACTGTTCCGGCTGAATTATTGTGAGAGAAAAACACTGTTCCGGCTGAAAAAAGAAGCCGAACAAGCCATTTTTAAGACAAGCGAACGGGGCCAAATAAAATATTTCAATGAACGGAAACAGAAAAGTTGCATAAATATTTTGCAAAATTAATTGCAAACCAAATTTAATAGTAGGAAAGGAAATTAATGATCCAAAGCGACGAATCTCTAGAAATAATGAGAAGCAGAACATCTTTGCGAGTCTCACTTGGAAGAATAATATAAAAATTGTTAAATAAGTTATTACTGATCAACTAGATGTTGTTTTTGGTCACTATGTTAAACTAAGATTCCTGTCTAATTAAATTCCAATTTTTGTCCTTCCACTGTATCCTAAATATTATGTGGAAGGCTGGAAGATGAATACACCACTGGATTGAAACTCATACACATATGTTTGCACACAAGTTGATTTCTAGTTTCCCTGCAAACTTATTTTATTTTTTCATCTCGAGTGTCATTGGATAGCCAATTAAGAAACCACTTTATTTTGTTCACTGATGGTAATTGGTGGCCTTAGATTCTATTATGGAATCAATTTTTTTTATTAGTTCAGTTAAACAAACATCATGTTGTGATCGATCTTGGTTTTAGTGGCTCTGCAAACTAAAAATTAGTTCAGTTAAAAACAAACGTCATGTTGTGATCGATCTAGGTTTTAATGATGAAGTTATAGATGATACTATCTGCAAATTAAAACTGAATATAGTTAATTGATTTATCCAGCATATATACAAGTTAAACTGTTGAAGACTAGGAGACTGTAGTTTTTTGTTAATCAGAACAAGTAGCTATAAGCTAGCATTCCTGATGAGGACAAAAAACAGATACAGGTGGAAGCTGGTAGCTAGCCTGGTATACCAATCAACAGTCCATCTCTTCATATAAGATTGCCAATTTCTTGTTCAGGCCATATCATCCCTTGTTTCTCTCAGATCGTAATAACACTCACAGGCCATCACTGTATAATTAAGTATCCCCTTATTTAGGAGAAAAAAAATGAAAAAAATAAAATAAAGCAGAAAACTAGGGAAGCATTTCCTTCGGCAAAGTTGGGAGAGAGCAGAATAAATTTGCGCATGAGTTAGCGTTGTGAGAATCAAAGTGTTCTTTTATTCAGTCTGGGACTTGGTGAGCAGTCTCGTATGTAATGACGACGTTCCTTAATTTTCAACAAAGCTCTCAAAAAGAAAGAAAAAACTAGCTAAGCATTTCATTTTGGAAACCAACTCCTTATATATCCATATATATACATCCATAAGCTCATCCAACATTGCCCTTATTTAGGAGGAATAGATGTACACATCCGTACATACATAGTTACAGATATTTGAGCGTATAGATCGATCTATTGACATGCATGGGGCTTAATTATATCAAGCACGTACTAATTAATGGAGAATGAACCAAGTAGAGTAGTAATAACCAACACCAACTAGCTATCATCAACCGGGGAAGCAGAGAAGCACTAGCTAGAGACTAGAGATTATATTAGCTAGAATAGAGACATCAGCCTGATAGAGATCCAGATAGCTAGACCAAAGCTTTCACATGCATGCATGGTGATCGGCGTGCATGGATGGACACCAGGCCTCCACGAACCTAGGTCGAGGCGGTGGCATGGAACCTGGCGATGAACTCGGACGCCTTCATGTCGACGTCGCGCTCGCTGACGTACCACAGCCCGTCCTCGTCGCTCGGCCGCACCGTCCTGGACGACCGCCGCGGCTGCTCGTACCCCGGCTCGTCGTCGGCGCAGTACCCGCCTCCTGACCCGATGCAACACAGGCTGGCTCCCATTCCGGCGATCGATCACCCGAAGCTTCTTCTTCTTCTTGCCTGACGGCTGTAGACGCTAAGCTTCTCAGAGCACAGACGACAGTTGTCAGGCACTAGCTAGCAGTAAGCTCACTAGGAAACTGCTGCTGCTTGCTTATGTGCTGGGCCAGCCGGGTCCTCCCCAATTTATAGCGGAGGGTGGGCGCACAGCGGGCGGCCAGGATGCCCGGAATGACCTCTGCGGCGGCGTCCGACGGCCGGGATCGATCGGCTCATCGAGCGGGCTACGTGTTGTGCACGTCAGGACGAGACGAGACGACGAATAGACTGCTCTTCTGACGGTCGAGCTTGGTGCAGATTCTTTCTTCTTCAGACTTCTCCAGCTATAGCTTAGCCGTTGCTGTGAACACTGCAAGGTCTGAACAGTTAGTTGCTCTGCGAACAATGAAGTGCAGTGCTGCTGATGGCGTAATTGGATTTGAGGTGTCATGAATATATTATGGTAACAATGGAAGGCAAATAGTATTTGGGCTTCAATTCGATACATTCACACGATCACCTGAAGCTAGCTAGCTAGTCCTGGGTTTAAGGTACGATATAGAGCAATTTTTTAACTTTTTCTGACATCATGTAATTGAGATAAGGGATAGCTAGCTAGATTGCTCAGATAGCAATTGAAAAGTTTATGGCGATAAGCCAGCATCTCTCAGAGTCACTAATACGTGCGGTCATTTCAGGGTCATTTTTTATAATTAATTGATGTACGTTGTTCATCAAGAGATTTGGTCTAGCTACTTGTGGTGATCACTATTCACTACCTCATGTCAATTAATCGACAGTACAAGTTGGACGGTAGCGGCTTGATTTGCATTGGCAGTCTTGGTTTACTTTGGTACCCTAATTATTGTTGTACCCAAACAACTGTTCGTTTGTGATCTTGTCGATCGACTTTTTGTGTAAATAAAGGGATGAGTACAAGTATAAATAGATATGCACGACTTTCCTTCACAGCTTAGGCTACCTGCCTCAGATTGTAGAGTACAGATTGTAATGAGCAAACTTGTTGCCTCAAAGAGACAGAGAACATCATTCACTTAACTCTCTTTCTCTTATTCCTTACCATATAGGGCCGGTATATATAGTCGCAGCAAATTCTTCTTGTTCTAGCTTCTTACCTTTAGCTTGCATAATTATCGCACATGTATCCCACAGCAACAAGCTATATATACATTTAGGTCAATGCAAGTAAAATAAGAATTAAGAAGATCATCATGTGTACGTACAATAGTTTGGTAGGACCAGTCAAAAGAAGAACAAAACTTCCCAAAAGCTGCGACTAATAATCCCATTTGCAAAGTGCAAGTTGCGACCCCTGCCTGCCTAGCTGCAACCTTTTGAGAAAGAGTACTTGCACGGCTTGCGTTGGCTCCTCTCCTACATGCCTAAATGAATGAATGTATAACCAGTTCATGGTAATGCAGTGCACGCTGTAACCACAATGCTTTAAGATGGCAACTTTTGGGCAGAATCCTCAGGAGGTCCATAATAGTGTTAGGCGAGAGCTATGCGTGTAGATGGACATAGTAGTTGATAGATATATTTATTTGTAGCTAGGTTGCTTTAGCTATATATATTTATTTGGGTTGAAGTTGCACCAATTCTATTTGTCTGTTTTGATCTCCAGCTGTCATTATAAAAGATCAGGCACTAGATGAGTCCCTCGTATATGCTGTCATAGTGTTATGCAAACCTTGCGGCCTTGGAGGCTCGGACAGACAGCACGCACTGAAAGAAAGAATTTGAAGGAGTGGAGATCTTTCTCATCAACTAGATTTGTACATGGGAAATCTTTACATGTGCTAGTTTGTCACAACATAAATGCTATGTGTCACCATGTTCATTTTCTAACACAATAGGTATATAAATACTCTATAATCTCTGGGTGTGGTAAACTTATCAATAAATATGTATGTTTTTTTCCATCGATATCCACAGTTTTTCTCCCTTTGTATGGCAAACTTTAACGTAAGTTATGGTGGCTCTTGTTGAATAACAGGTCTCATAGTATCATGAAACTTATTCTTATTGTATTTATTCAGAACTTTATTTTTGTACTTTTTTAAACGTAAGAATTTTAGATAGTAGTTTACATAGTTTGTTACTAGAATGACATAAACAATCATTTAAGCTTCACCACTATGCTCAAAATTAGCGCTAGAGCTTGAATTGATGATTAAATAGCTATAAAGTACACTTTATATTGTTCTAACTTACTCGGCTTGCCCTTGTTAAATTCAAAGTAAACATAAATGCTATATGTCAGTATGTCACCATCACTAGTAGAGAACAGGCCTTTGATCCTCGGCTAAAATGGGCTCTAGTCCCGGAATTTTTTGCGCCCAGGATTAGAAATACCTTTAGTCCCGGTTGGTGTCTCCAACCGGGACTAAAGGTCCCTGCCCCAACGGCTACTGCGCCAGACAGAGGTGGCGGGGACCTTTAGTCCCAGTTGGAGCCACCAACCGAGGACTAAGTATACTCTACTACTCGGTTGGGGGCTCCAACCGGGAGTAAAGGTCTACTCGGGCCGTGGCTGCGCCGGGGTTGGAAAGTTACCTTTAGTCCCGGTTGGAGCCACCGGTAGGACTAAAAGGTCCCCCCTTTATATCCGGCCGTCTCCTCCCTCCTCTCCGAGCCCGAGCTCGAGCTCACATTTTGAAGCTCACTGCAGTAGTGTTCTTGCTTCCTCCCTCCTCCATTGTTCCTCCATCCATTATTCGATTCCTCCATCGATTTCTTGATTCCTCCGTCGATTCTTGAGTTGTAAAGGTTACCAATCTCCATACTCTTATTTTTCACCATTGTCTTATCTCATTTTGTTCACTATATATATATATGGTTCTTTATTTTGGTTTTTTTCATTTGTAAGCAATTTGAGCTCAAAATCACTTCAAGCTTGCATATTTACATGAAATAAGGTTAAAGTAGCTAGTTGAACTTGCGGACCGTGTTCATCTCGGCGAAACACGTTCTCTGCGAAGTGATAGCAGGACGTCAAGGAGGAGCTTTGATTCTACAAGGGAGAGGCGGCAGCGGTCGTGGAAGACCGTGTTCCTTCCTCGTAGAATTGGAGCTCTTCCGTGGTCAAGAAATCTGGTGCCGTCTGTGGAGAAATGCTCACCGAGATGATCACGTAAGCAAGGTCAACTAATCTGGATGGTTATTTATTCACATGTCACGATATAAATCGCGATAGTACATCAATCACCGTACCCAAGCGTAGTATATATATAAATATAAACTTAGAAAATAGTTAGAAAATTATAGAAAATCCATACTAGTTGAACTTGCGGACCGTGTTCATCTCGGTGAAACACGTTCTCTGCCAGCGATAGCGGACGTCAAGGAGGAGCTTTGATTCTCTGAGGGAGGCGGCAGCGGTCGTGGAAGACCGTGTTCCCTTCCTCGTAGAATTGGAGCTCTTCCGTGGCCAAATCACGGTGCCGTCCGGTGGAGAAATGCTCGCCGAGATGATCACGTAACAAGGTCAACTAGTATGGATAATTATTATTCACACGTCCCGATATAAATCATGATGATACATTATGTGTGTACACTCCCATTCTTACATTAATTTGCGAGAAATATCATGTGAATTACTTACTTGCATGATAAAAAAGCGAGAACACAATGACCATTAAAAATATCATTGTTTAGAGATCTAGATAATTTTATAGTTTCTTAATTTTATTTGTTTATAAAAGGAGAAATTTATAGTGTATTAAAAATGAGTATAGAGAGTAGATGTAATTGCTTCCGGGTCCTCGGCCTCTCATGGGTTTCCAAAGCGACTTAGGCGGGCCTCCCTCTCATTCCATGCGGCAAGTGTCGTGATGAGGCGAAGATTGTGATGGAGTACCGAGTGAAGAAGGAGGGTCCCAACAAGGATCGTATCTTCTACAAGTGTCCAGGATCGCAATGTGAGTTATTTTATCGTATTTAATGATTATGGTTAGTTTATACCTATTTTCATGATGGTTGTGATTAAAGTTCTAATTTTTGTTTTAATTTGATTGGGATGGTAGTGGGCGATGTTGGGGCTTCTCTTTGGGAGGAAGAGTATGTTGGACTCGTGCAAAAATATCTTACTGTGAAATGAATCTGACTGCTAATGAGGCGGTGATCCAGCCGAAGAAGCCCAAAGATGTTGCACTGTCGGGGGATACATGCATTTTTAGTTGAGATTGGTCGTGAAATCCTCTACTCTTGAAATGTATTTTAGCTTTAGTTCTTTTAGTGGTAGTTGGGATTGTCTACATTGTAGCGATGCTTTCATAAATTTGTATCTTTTGTGGTGTACGCATGTTGTATAAATAATTAATTATGATCTAGGTTTTAATATGGTATTTATGTCATGTAATGCGAGATGAGCCGTCATTGGATGTATAATGTTGATCGCCGCTCCCAAGAGTTCATTTGGCGTGCATTCTTTATTACGTCGGCCGAGGCAAACAAAACAGCGATGGTTTCATGTCTTTGCCCATGTGCCATATGTAAGAATACGGTGGAATATCCTTGCTCAAGGACTCTTCATTCACACTTATTCAAGTCGGGTTTCATGCCAAACTATATTTGTTGGACAAAGCACGGAGAAACCGGTGTTGTAATGGAAGAAGGTGAAGAAGAACAATGGGGCGACAATGATATTATTCCCGATGGTGCGTGCTTCAATGATCTTGCAATGGGAGAAAATTTGAAGAAGAGGTAGCCGCGAGAAGATGAGCGGTGATGATCTTTCTCGGGTCATTCGTGGCGCACAAAGAGAATGTGAAAGTGAAAAGGAGAAGATCAAGTTGAGCGGATGCTAGAAGATCACAAGAAATTGTTGTACCCAACTTGTGATGCGAGGGAAAAAGTTGGGAACCACACTAAATTCTTTGCAATGGAAGGCAAAGAATGGTGTATCGACAAGGGATTTGGAGAGTTACTAAAAATTCAAAAGAAGATGCTTAGAAGGACAA